TTATATATATATATATATATATATATATATATATATCCGGTTAGATCACACAAGTCCTTCTTTCATAGATTGGGGAAGATGGAGTATTAACATGCATAAGAAGAAACATTAAGAGAATGAATTCAATAGCTCATAGCCACTTGCTCGCCCTTCCTTACACACCAAATATTTTCATAGTCATCAGTACCACGAACACCCTGCAACTCGGAAGAAGACCAAGAGGGAGCAATGACAATACCCCATGAAGTAACAATGAAGAGAAGTAAGATAACCCTAGCAAGGAGCAAATGCAAAACAGAGGAGGAAGCGGAGGGGCCGACCAGCAAAAGAACAAGCTGAAGCTCAGATATCTACCTATCTTCTCTTTTAGCCACCATATTTCTCTCTTCCCTTGGCTGCTCAACATTTCCTTACCTCCTCGCTCCACCTCCTCTAATTCCATCTCTCTCAATGTATCTCTATGTTGTTTTTTAATTTTTAACAACACCTTCTCTTCTTTCTTTGTTTCTTTTTCTCTCCCTATTCATCGTGCCACAAGATTCTTTTTAACCGCTTTCTTCTCTTTACTGCTGCAAATTGGTTTTCAATGTTTCCCACTCTAAAATGGCATTTTCCTTGGTTGCAAGAAGAGAAAAAACATGCTTGAGGTAGGAAGAAAGATGTGAGCTTGGGAGATGAGAAATAGGAACAATCGGCCTTTATGGCATGTTTGGTTCGTGTGAAAAGGTTTTTTAGAAAACATTTTCACATAAAAAAATCCTCTCATGTGGTTAACTGTGGGAATATTTTAATACAAATGGTCTTGATACATCTTTCTGTCAATTTATCAAAACCCTAGAGAGAGAAAGAGAACCCTCCTTCATACATACCATACATACAACCCCCGTGAACTACACATTATATTTGAGGGTAAAGAATAAATAAATACCCTATACAATGTTACAAAAGACAGTAAGGGACAATCTATTCCTTAACGCTCCCCTCAAGCCGAGCATGCGTCTTGTGTATTGAGAGCTTGTCTGTGGACTCATGGTGTCTTGGTCTAATTAGTGCTTTAGTGAACATGTCGGCCAACTGATGGGATGAGGAACCAAGGTCATGGAAATAGCTCCCTATACAACTTTTTCTCTAATGAAGTGATAATCAACTTCGATGTGTTTAATGCAGGTATGGAAGATAGGATTGGTGGCTAGACACATGGCACTTTGATTATCACAAGCTAGAATGGTTGATTTAATTGTGGAAATATCAATTTCCTTAAGGAGCATACGTAGCCAAGAAATTTCTGCTGCGACAATACTCATTGCTCTATATTATGATCCTGTATTGGATTTAGATATTGAGGCTTGCTTTTTGCTATGCCAAAAAATCAAACTCCTTCCTAAGAAGATACAAAATCCTGTAATAGACCTACGATTATTAGGGCAAGTAGCCCAATCAGCATCAGAGTAGCTTCGAGGTCAAGTGAATTGGATGAAGGGTAGACAAAGTTATCATGTATAAAACCTTTTAAATACCTCAAAATCCTTTTTGTGGCTTCATAATGAGGTTGTCGATGAGCATGCATGAACTGACATATTGTATTCACTACATAAACAATGACAGGACGCAGAAATGTGAGATATTGAAGACCACTAACTATACTTCTGTACAATGAAGGATAATCTCTGAGAGAGAGAGGATTGAAGCTCTGATACCATGTCAATTTACCAAAACCCTAGAGAGAGAAAGAGAACTCTCCTTCATACATACCATACGTACAACCCCCACGAACTACACACCATATTTGAGGGTAAAGAATAAACAAATACCCTATATAATATTATGAAAGACAGTAAAGGACAATCTCTTCCTTAACATTTTCCACATCATTGCCAACTAATTGATGTAAAAATATTCTCACACTTGACCACATGAGAGAACTTTTTCATATGAAAATATTTTCTAGAAATATTTTCATGAAAATCAAACTTTTTCACAAAAATCAAACGTGCCATTAGGGAGAATGATTACGGGTAAGAACTCTAGGAGAAAGAGAGAAGAAGCCCCTTGTTAGACAACAGCGCACAATGAGAGGTTTGAGAGAGAAATGGGGGTGCAGCATTTGGAGAGATAAGGGTAGAGTAAGGACTGTGATGGAGAGGAAACAAAAGACAGATGGCATATGGAGTGGCTGAAAGAACATACTGAATTGGATATTATTAAATGCATTTCCCTCTTGGAGGGTTTGCTTTATTTGGTAACCAGGTTTCATCACAGTTGTTTGGAAGTCCATCGAATCTTACGGCCAAAGTTTGGGGTTTTATGTGCTTGGGGTCTGAGAGGGTCTCACAATATCATTACTCTAAATTTTAATATAAATTTTAGTTAATAATTTATTTTTATTCTTCAAAAAGCCCAATGGGTTAAAGCATGAAATGCACGGGTAGTATAACATATAACGTGATAGACGCCCACATTTCCTAAACCCAACTTAAAGTTCTACTTTTTAGTCACCTAACAATAACATGTGTGTACCAAATTTATGGCAAAAGATTTTCTACTCCACTATACTATCCTTCTACTCCATTAGGCAAATTTTAGATCCCAAATTTTGGCAAATGTGATATCTAGAACCCTTTAACTAACTTCAAAAGATATAACAATAACAATAAGAATAAGAATAACAACAACTAACAATAACAATAACAATAACAATAACAATAATAATAATAATTCGTGCCTAAGAAAAAAAAAAAATGTCACCCAAGATGCCCCGAACCATTCAATTTTTTAGGGAATAATCTAGATGTTCAAGAACTCAAAATCTAAAGTTTTTTTTTAAAAAATAATAATCTAGTTATGATCAAATAGATCCCTAAATTTCAAACAAAAAAAACAAACTCTTACAAATTAGTATTTTGCCAGGGAGTAAATTTATATTGTGCTCCCAAAGGATCATAGTATACGCGCTCAATTCAATTTTACCGACCATTCAAAAACTACCTACTCATCCCACTTGAGTCCCACTCCCTCAAATCGCAGAAATGATTGCGATTGCAAAGAAGGGTGGACTGGACGGTGAGGATTTTAAAGTTTTTTTTGACATTTTTAAAGATTGACCACTTGATTAACAATATCCAAAACCTTGTTAAATGGTAGGCCACCCTCACGACTGTTAGGTCCAAGACATTAGAGGTTGGAAGGGTAGACGCCAATTGACTGAAACACCCTTAATAGCTAAATACAAAAAAACAAGGTTACCCTCCTTATTTCCTACTAATATTAAACCCCAAAAGATTTTCTACTCTTGTGGGAGTATACTATCCATTTACTCTCTCAGGCATAACAAATACTAAGAATATTTGTAGATCTCTAATTTGGGAAGGTAATCTTTGGAATCCATAAAAATTTCGGAAATAAACTCCTTATGTGCTATAAAAATCTAATGCCTCGAGATTAAAAAGAGGCCGTCTAATTTTACAAGCGGTAGATCTAAGGGTCACAAAACTCAAAATTCAAACTTTTCTTTTAAAAATAACCATCTATTAATTGTTATGTGGTTCCCAAAATTTGAGACTAAAATAACCTTCCCAAGTAGGTGTTTTGCTCGAGGGAGTAAATACACAATATGCTCGTGCAGGAGCATAATGTACATGCTGAATACGAAATGCCCCACAAATTTTCTTTGATTTTTTTAATAACACTCCAACAGTGAAGACTGTAAACTGCTAATAGAATGGTAGGCATGGTCATCTATATATCAAGGCATAGAGCTCGAAGTCTTAAGAGCAAAATTCAGCTCCAAAAATGGGAATTTTACTGGTTTTCTTAGCCACATTTGCCTTATCACTCACAAGTTCAGAGTGTTCATTCTCCATAACTGGATATGATCCTAAGGACTTGTCGGAAGAGAGGCTCTCTAGCTTGTTTGAAACTTGGAGGCAAAGGCATGGAAAAATATACAGGCACCAAGAGGAGAGAGAGAGAAGATTTCAGGCTTTTAGAGAGAACCTGCTGTTCATTGATGCGACGAACAGGAACACGAGCAGTAAATCTCGGCACAGGGTTGGGCTCAACAAGTTTGCAGACATGACCAACAAGGAATTTAAGGAGATTTATTCTTCCAAGATAAAGAGACCGGGGAACAGAGAGAGAGCTGGGGCCGGTGCCAAATCGCAGGCGGCATCTTGTGAGGCGTCGTCCTCACTAGATTGGAGGAAGAAAGGAGCAGTAACCGGAGTGAAGGATCAAGGGAATTGCGGTAAGTCTCTCTGGCTCTTTGAGAAAGTTTTTGTTTTTTTGTTTTTTTCTCTCATATAAAAGTTTTTTTTTTTGGTCGGCTTGGAAAAGCACTTTCACACTTAAATGATGGAGTATGCTCCTTCACATTTTAAAATCAAATACGATATGGCCAGTGAGTTTCCAGTGATGCATTTAGCTTTTTGGAAATATCTCAATTTGATAAAGTGGGGTTCCCTTCTTTAAAAATGACATTATTCACGAGGTTCACGAGATGAGAAAAAGAGAGATGGGGATCCTGAAATTCTTTTGTCTCTTTTTTTGTTTTGTGTTTTTTGTTTTTCTGTTTTTTTGTTGCCTTTTTAGAGGTGCTTAAAGGGATGGTTGTGCACCGCTGGGTGCTATTTTAATTCCCTTCCTCAAATTACTTCCAACTCTCCTCCAGTCTTGGAATTTATTTGAGTTTGATTGAAATTGTTGGATTGGCACAGGGAGTTGCTGGGCATTTTCTGTTACGGGAGCAATTGAAAGCATAAACGAAATAGTCACAAGCGAGCTGATAAGCCTATCTGAGCAAGAACTGGTAGACTGTGACTCCACCAACGATGGGTGTGATGGAGGTTACATGGATTATGCATTTCAGTGGGTCATTCAAAATGAAGGGATCGACACCGAATCCGATTACTCCTACACAGGACAAGATGGCACTTGCAACACGGAAAAGGTACTCGTATGACTATCTGTCCGAATCGGCGATTTTCAAATAATTGTGCTTCATTCTATTGAGTCCCCCTTTTCATCCATCCTCAGTGCCTTTTAAAAGCTCCCTCTTTTAATTAATGTTCAGTTTAGCTTTCTTTCGAAATGTCTGAGCGTATGTTACTTATTTTCTAAAAAGAAATTTATCAAAATACACCTAACATTTCAATTATTTAATAGTTTACCCTTTTTAACTATTCCATGGTCATTATTTTGAAAGTTATTTTGAAATTAAACCAAAAGACAAGGGTATAAATTTTTATAATTGATTTCTTATCCATATTGTGATAAATTTCGCTTTTATAAAATACAAGGGGGTTTACTTAGATGTAGTTAAAAAAATTTCGATGCTAGGGTGGATGTTGCTCAAAAAGGTTCATATTAAAAAAGAGAAACAAAGAACACATTTCATATTAAGTCACACAGTTAAGATTATATAGTGGCAGGCCTTTATTCCTCTGGGATTTTAGACGACTTATCATTTATATGTGCTTCAAGGGAGATTGCATAAGTAATTACCATTTCTGCAATTTATATAAAAACAATCATCTTTGTGAACTTGGCTATGTTTTTGTCAGGAGGAAAAGAAAGTGGTTTCGATCGATGGTTATGAAGATGTTGAGGAAGAAGAGAGCGCTCTCCTCTGCGCTGTCGTTAACCAGCCCATCAGCGTAGGGATCGATGGATCTGCCATTGATTTTCAACTCTATTCTGGAGTAAGTAAAACACCAAAACAGTTGGTTTTCCTTTTTCTTTTCATTCTAGGCATATGGGGATCAAAACTTTTATTTAACCTGAAAAGACAAACAAACAAAAAAACAGAAGGAAAAAGCATAAAAAAAAGAAAAAAAAAAAAGCAAAGAAAGAGAGATACGAACAAGGAAAAGAAAACATGAACATCTACTAATCTTCTCACCAAACTCTCATGCTGGGATCAAGCAGGGCATCTACGATGGGCTATGCTCGAGCAACCCAGACGACATCGACCACGCCGTCCTGATCGTTGGATATGCCTCTCAAGGTGATGAGGATTATTGGATTGTAAAGAATTCATGGGGCACAAGCTGGGGTATCAATGGCTACATATACATACGTCGCAACACTGACCTCGAATATGGTGTTTGCGCCATCAATTCCATGGCTTCATACCCCACAAAGGAGTCCACATCCCCAAGCCCTATGCCATCACCTGGTGCCCCACCCCCTCCATCAACAACACCACCACCACCACCTCCACCGCCACCGCCACCACCACCAACACCACCCTCACCTCCAGGTCCTTCTCCAGTGATTTGTGGAGACTTCTCATATTGTGATTCCGGGGAGACATGTTGCTGTTTATTGGAACTGTATGGAATTTGTTTGGAGTACGGGTGTTGTGAATACGAGAATGCCGTGTGTTGCAAGGGCACCATCTACTGCTGCCCTGAGGACTATCCTATCTGCGATGTCCTGGACGGACTTTGCCTCCAGGTACATATCCTTATCACTAGAGTTTTATGAGTTCATTAACTAAAATTGTTTTCATAAGGTGCATAGAACACACGTAACATGTCATGCTATGTATGATAATGCCTCCTTGAAAAAGATGATTTAGAATACACAGATGATTTAGAATACACAGAAAGGGAAGTTATCATATGAAACCTGATCAAAGTTGCATTCCCATTGTCTGTCAAGTGGATGATCCATCATGGTCTAATTAGACAAGTAGGAGTGATCCACAACTCCGTCAGTTCCATTGTCTGTCACGTGGAGTAATAGATCCTAAACCATCTGAAGTAGTCCACTGATGGAAATCGAAGTCCTACATGTTTTATGTAGGAACTGATCTCATAGGATGATTCCGATTTCCGAATATAAATACAGGGCAGGGGGATCAAATAAACGTGGACTGCATGCCATAACCCCTGTCCAGCTCCGATATTAAAAAAAAGATAGATGAAAATTTTGCCAAAATTTATCAACATTTTCTTTTAAATGGAAAGGTTCGTTCATGTAATGGTGATCTAATGGCTAGTAAAGTGAAAAGTTTCAGGAAAAGCCATTCGCTTGCAAACTGCCATTAGATCTTTCTGCACCAAGAATTAGGTCTTCCAACTCTCTACCCAAGCTGTTAATATGCTTCTAGATCTTCAGGACCATTCAAGAAATAAGTATTAAAAAGCAGCTTGGAAAATTCTTTCCAGTCTAAATAACATCTGAAATGGTAATAGGCTTGGCAACTTAGTTCCAGTCTAAACAACATCTGAAATAGTAACAGGCTTAGAACACATGTTTCCAGTGTGTGAAGATCAATTTAGATAAGAGCCACTCACTGACTTCCCTTTGCTTTCATTCTGATCACAACAATTGCAACAGAGCTATGGAGACTATGTTGGGATAGCCATGAAGAAACGAAAGAAGGCACAACACAAGCTCCCATGGTCAAACCCTGATGAAGCCAAACTGAGATCACAGAGCCACTACCAACCTCTCCAATGGCGCAGGAATGGAATCGCAGCGGAATAGTCACATGGTGGGTCTATTTCGAGTTCAATGATTTGCTTTGGTTTGATCGTGATGGATATTTTACAATTTTTGTTGTTTCTTCTTATTTTTGTGGGGCCGGAACTGAAGGGTGCAAGTCAGAAAGCGTTTCATGTTGTTATTTTGATTATCCAAGCATGGCCGCATTCATGGATTGGCTGACTTGGATATTTGAGAAATAAAACTGTTTACCATGATAGACCACTCATGTCCCTCAAAATAGATAGTCAAGTTGCTATTAAATCTGTCAATCCATTCACATTGAGTAAAGTGGCATCTTTTAATCGTCCATACCAAATATATGGGAACCTAATATATGCAAGTGAGAAAAACCAATGAAACACAAAAAGTAACTATGAAAATTTTATTGTTGATGGCGAAAATAAGAAAGCCCTATTTTTCTATAAAGATTATTGGGTACATTTCTAACTTTAGGGGGGAAAAGAGAGATATAATGGGCAATTATTTTAAGATAACTAAATTTGAAAGAGAAAGATCTCAACATTGTTTCTATATCTTAATTAAAGAGAGAACATGAGTATGCACACGAGAGAGATCTCAATATTGTGAGAGATTTTGAAGAGAGAGAATATGTACAAGAGAGAGAAAGAGATTTTAGGAGAGATAAGAGACTTTCATGGAAGCTTTTAAAGATTAGAGAAAGTGAGAATCTCCTAAAACAAGATTTTAGGAAACCAAAATTTTAATAGAATTTATTTATAGAAATGATAAAAAAAAAGTAGAATAACCTATCTT